CCACAAAATTCAATGAAATAATTCTACAATTTTAACAAAAGAACAATCTACAAAAAAACGTAAAATTAAAGAAAGCGCACTAATTTTACTAATTGAAAATAATTGTGTTGCTTCATGTTCAGTTAATCTAAGCCATACATGGTTACCTATGCTAAAATCTGAAGTAGACTAAATACGATTATTTTCATTTGCTTGTAAATATATGGGTATTTGTTGAAATGCTTGTAAATATGAATCATTTATTTTATAAAAGTATACAAAGTGCATATAAAGAATTTGCACCTCGTGAGTTTGATAATGTTGGTGTATTCAAATATTCAAATAGCGAATAATTATGTGTAGCAAATTCGAGTATTCGAGTATTTGAAAATATAAATTTTTTATTAAAAATGCAGAATGATGATAGTAGAAATAGTGATGATATCTAATGATTTCCTTTATTAAAAACATAATTCTTAACATTGGTAAACTTAAAATAAAATATTTTAAAATGAAAAACAAAACATAGGTCCGAGGTAACTACTTAAAGAACAAAAAACTGATAATAATAAAACTAAAGTGATTAAATAAAATACACGGTTTATATGCGAAAATGTTTAAAAATCTCATTTTCATTTAAAAGTGAATTAACATTTAAGAATATTTTTTTTTGCAGATGTTTTTTAGTGATTCTAGTTCTTCGCTCGATTATGATATCACACGCTTTTGAAAATATTCTCTCGCATTTTGTTTCTCAATAACATTAAATATAAATGAAATGGGAAATAATCCACAATAACAACAAACAGAAATGCGTGTTTGGCAATCCTGGGCGAAGTATTACGCGAGTTAATTATGGTACCACCAAAAAATAATTTAAAAAAATGTCGACCTTACAACGTTGATGACAATTCAAATTACTTTCATTTTATCTCTGTCTGAATGTATATTTAAAAATGGCCAGCTTCCTTAAATGCAGGTGCACATTCTGCTTAACACCTTTGTTATTTTACATTTCAACTGTGATGTAATTTATGTCTTAGACTCTTAGTTTGCTCATAGCTCATCTGCAAGTGCACATTCTGCTTAGTTCGCTGGTTATGGGCATATAACTCCCGAGCTAAGTATCTTGACAGAAATCCTATTTTTTAAGATGTATTACGGAATGTCAGAAAACTAAATACTTATAGACTAAAATTGCTGAATTATATCATGGCAGCAATTAAACAAATTTTTGCTGGTTCCTGGAGAACTGAACAGTAATTCTTATTAACGAAAAGTGATACACGGCACATCAAGACAACGCGTAACTACACACAACATATTTTCCGTTGACAAATGGGTACTGAAACTGCTGCAACTTCATAGAGCACTCGACGATGCCGCATCGGGTCTGTGCTGACGCGAACCATTTTTTTTGGTTTATGAGACGGTTCCAAAAACAACCTTCAAATCGGCAAACGGCTGCAGCTGGTGCGAAGTGCGCACAACTGTTTCTGTTTTATGAGACGGTACCAAAAAGAACGGTTTAAGTCGGCAAACGATAGATCGCCCGACTTGGTCGCATCGGTTCTGTGCTGGTGCGCACCGCTGTTGCGGTTTTATGAGACGGTTCTAAAAACAACCTTTAAATCAGTAAGCGGCTGCAGCCGGTGCGAAGTGCGCACAACTGTTTCGGTTTTATGAGACGGTTCCAAAAACAACGGTGTAAATCGGCAAACGGCTGCAGCTGGATAGATCGCTCGACGGTGTCGGATCGGTTCTGTGCTGGTGCGAAGTGCGCACCGCTATTTCGGTTTTATAAGACGGTTCCGAAAAAAACCGGTTAAATCGGCTAGCTGTAACTACGGTTTCAGGTTACACGTTTGGAACACTGTTATTTTAGCGGTTACGTTAAATACCGACCATCGCTACCGGACTAGTGATATTGTACTGGATATTTAACGATAACTAAATGGAAACAAATTATCTTTAACTAAAAATTTACTATTTCATTATTTTACAAAATTCAGATTTAAAATAAATTGGAATTCGTATTTGTCTGATTTCTGAACGATATTTGGTACACTCCTGTTTCCATCGATGCATCTTTTCATCCATAGTTAAATTTTCTTTAATGCAACTACATTTCACACGTTCGTTTCTTGCCCGCTTCAAATCTTCGATTGATGCTGCCACTTCGATTTCCTCCTTAGGCATTTCTCTCTGGTTCTTTTTAAAATATACTTCCAGGGCATTTCCCATGTCAACAATGGCTTTGTAGATACTTAAATCTTCCAACTTGTCTTGAAAATTATCAAAAATTATTTGCCGCATTTTGGATACGTGAGAAGCAATTTCATCAACCGATTGAAGCATTATTTGAAATGTTCTAAATGCGGTGTAGAAATGTGATTGATGACTTGGAGATTTTCTATAACAGCTAGGCAATTTCTCAGTGGTATTGTTATAAAATCTCTCAGAGTATTTTACGAAGTACTTCCTTCTGCAGTCGACAATAGTTACATTGTCATTAGCAACACGATTATATGTGTTCACTGAACCATTCGGCAAATGCATTATTTCATTCTTTTTACATTGTACATAATCATTTGTTATCAACATTTCTCCTGTCAAATCTTTGTTAATAACAAATAATTTTTTGTACTGATTTCTTTTCACATGATTGCATTTCATGGCATTTCGATCAGACTTCATGTAATCACTGTTTCTAAAGCAATTCCCAACAAAATCTGAATGAACTTCCTTATTATAGGTATCGTTAACGTACATAAATTCTTCATGAGGAGTCCAACGGCCATGTTTGAATGGCTTTAGATTAAAATTGATGTCAAATTTCCCAGAACAAGATGCACAAGTATTTCGAAAATTGAGGTTTTCCTTCGATAAGCTCATAGACAAGCCGTTGTTCATATTAACTTCCAAACACTCCATATTGAAAAAATCCTTAATAGCAACATCGTCATTTAGTATTATCTCTGAAGTCTCATCAAAATTGAATTTCACTTTAACATAGTAGGAATGCTCATACTGATAACTTAGTTTGACATATACAAAATCATCCACTAATTCATCAGGCACGTCGATACAGGTTGAAATTATTGTGCCGTCGGGAAATGTAATCATTTGGGAACCATTTTTATAAAACATGCAGCGAAAATCATCACTTCTTTCGAATGATATTTCCCCAGTGAAGAAGTCGTGTTCAGACGTCAAATGACACACTTGCTTCTGAGTAATTTTATTACCTTCAACCTTAATTCTTTTCCCATCAAATTTTGTAATTGATTTTTTCAAAAAGGGAACATTAAATTCTTTCAGCACTTTAAGGATTTTGCTATCTAAAATGTGTCTTTGCTTACTCGTAATATAACCTTTTCGACTCGACGGGTAATTAGAATCATCTTTTAGCAATTTATTCAGTTTATTTCGGTAGTCAGCACTGGTGGGGCAATTACAAGCATTTACCTTGCTTTTCTCCTCGATGCCGCCGTTCAATTTTTCAAAATGAAACATATCTCCGTTCGCTTTCAAAATGCTCATGGTACCATCAACCTTCTTGATAAGCACCAACCCTTGATTGCTGAACAATCTAAATTCTTCTTGTTGAATGGCAAGTACATTTGGCTTTTGAGCGGCATATTCTTGCTTAATCATAATATTTTTTTTATCTATTACACTTAAATGTGGTCGAATATATAAACCGTTTGGTAAACAAATTCGAAAGTCAATAGAGGTTTTTATCTCGAAATTGGGGTCTTGATTCGATCGACATGGCGATGCGAAAACTGCTTTTTGCCCCCGAGAATTAAATGCTCCTGGAGAAACGATATTTCTTAGGGCATCTTCTAAAGGCAATTTTAAATTAGCGTTCCGCCTCTTAAGATAACTTGATTGTTTATTCACTTTATATATAACTCCATTATTTTCTGTTGCTTTTATAACAGATTCCAGCAAATCCGCCGTCTCCTCTTTTGCTGAAAGGGCTTCTAAGGGTTTTCCCTCTAGTAGCATAGTAATGAAGTCTGCATCTACATAATGCACAAATTGTTCGCCGCTTGCAGCTTCGTTACCAACAGGGGAAGTATCGTTGTCATAAACAATATTTCCAATTTCGCTCTCACCGTCTCCAACATCTACAGGATTTTCAGTCAATGTATTTCTTCCCTCTGTACACTCGATTTGCGGTTTCTCTGGCACGGAAAAGCTTATCCGAGTGTTATCATTCAATATAATTGTTCCAAGGAAAGGTTGCGATAATAAAAATTCTGAAGTATGCAATATGAGGGTAGATTCTGCACTGTCCACAGTGAAAGTGCATTGATCCGGGGCTTGAAGGAATTTTGTATTGTCAATGGTTACTTTCACAGAATCATGGCTATGAAACGTTGTAACTTTGCCGACAACTTTGAATATATTACTGCCCAAATCGTAGGCAAGCATATCTTCATCTCCGTAAGAAGTTTCGGTTTCTTCCATTAAGTTCATATCTGCAGAACACTTCTCCAAGTTACTCAAAATATTAGAAAAACTAAGTTCTGCCTTTTGATTATATGGGCGACATGGTGGCGAGGAATCGGTTTGCAGGTCATTCATGCTGTCTTCATTTACGTTTTCGTCCAACAAATAGAAATATTCCTCAAACACATTAAGCTGCGTCTTTACTTTGCGAACTCCAGGACAATTCTCTTGAAAAGCAGGTTTAAACGTGTGTTCGTTCATATGTATTCTATTATTTTTTAACCACCTGGATTCGTCAACTACCAGGTATCTACAGAAATCTCGTATACAAACGGGAGTTCGGACTAGTACATCTACTATTTTAATGTTAATCCCAAAGTCGTCTAGTTTGTCCGAAAATGCGACTAAATAATTATCAGACTCAGGCGAATACTGTTTATGGGCATATAAAAATTTGTCCGAAGCAGCAAATACTTTTTGGATTAAAACCTCTTTGCTAAGATTTTCTTTCCAACGGAAGTGTACTATGGATGTATCATAAACATTTTCGTCAGAATGTCCCTCGATCTCATTATGAAATTTTAGTTCCACTTCTTTCCAATATTGGTATAAGTCGAAAGTCCACAAATTACTTAGAGGAACTTGTACGGATTTTAAATCGGATCTACTCATATTATTAATCAATTTACTAAATAAAAATACGTACATCAAATTATCAACCAAATCGCTTCGTGCTGTTTGATTTGCAGAAGGATTAACATCGTGTTTATGCGCAATGTCTAGAATATTATTTAAATAGTTCAAGCCCGAGAAAATTGGAATACGGTTCATCAAATTCAAAGTATCATTTGCACTTTTAGCTCCTGTATATTTATAAGACTTTAGTACTTTTACTAAGATATTATCATCATGGACCAGGAAGCTGTGTTTATCATCATTTGCCACCATTAGGTTTACTTGCGTTCGACTTTTTTGCTTTGAGGCCATTGCATTTGTCTCACGCATTAATTCCATACAGTGGGATGATTTGCTTGGTTTAAGATGTTTGGAAAATAATATGCTGCTCAGGCTGGATTTCTCGGACACATCTGATTCCATCGAAAAACCTACTTCGTCCAACAGTCCACTCAAGACTAGTTGCGGGTTAATGCACTCACTAGGTATATTTCGCAAATATCTATTGTATTTTTTTAAGCAGTCGATTTGAATCACTCTATAGGAATGTTGCATTTTATGGACCTTCAGATGCTGAATGTAGTTTAAGTGAGTTAATTTTACATTAAGGACTTTTCGGAGCATGGTGACGAACTCTTCGAGAACAACTAGCGAATCGGAGAATTCTGATACACAAAACTGAAGTAATATCGTATTTTGTAAATATTTATATGGTGTGGTGTTTCCAAAAAAGATCTGTTCAATTTTATTCCAAAATAGGCCCACACCACTTGGATCATTTGCTTCTTTCTGATCAATAAATTTAATTATTCCGGATACAGGGACACCAACCTGCTCCAATAAATTCTGAATAATGTCAGCGTTATAGAAACCGTGAAAACAGTAAAACCAAACGTAATCGAAAATATTTTCTTCATAGCTTACACCGTCGTTAGTGAGTGGAATTGGAGTGTAATCAATTTTCTCGTTTTTACTACCGTCATTGAAACTTTTTCCGAGTTTCCTTTTATTTTCATCTTTCCCTTGATACTTGTTTTTGTCTTCTTCCTTAGAAAACGTCTCGTCCTTTTTTTGCTTTTTTTTGCATTCCTTCGTGAGAACATTTAAAAAACTTTCTAAACTTCGTCGCTTGTCGTCTTCCTTGACTTTAACTACATACTGACTGTACATAACTTGAATCAGTTTTAATTTTAAGATTTGACTTTCATCATTTATTGTGATCTCACCTGGTGCGCTGTGGGTATTTTCTATAACGCTCAACAGTAAAGGCTTCAGGTGATTTGGATAAATACAGTCTGTGCTAGTGCGTCCAAAGTCCAAAACATCATCTCGCGATATAAAAGTAATAGATGATAGCTCTTCATAGCGCTTATTAATATCTATCAAGTTGCTCAATAAAGAAGCGGATTTATCGTCACTTTCATTCACTATAAATATATAAAACAAGTTTTTCGGGCAAAACTGGCCTATTTCGATTTGAGAAACTTGGCTCAGTGTAGATTCACAGAGAGTGTTAGACGACCTTTCGGAACTTATCCGACAGTTGTTATCCCATTTGCTGCGGTTTCGTTTTTTTGAAGTGATTGCTTTTGAAGCATCTATAGGCGTTTCCATATTGCTTTCTGAAAAGAAAAAAAAATTTAGAAAAAATAAAATGTTTCGAGGTGAACCTTAAATAATGGATATTATTTGATATTTGTGGCTATCTATTAGAGATGTGATAAACGGTTATTTTTTTGTAACGGGTTATCACGTCTCAGTTTCACCTTGGAACATGTTACTTTTAAAATTTTTCATTAAAAATGCAGAATGATGATGATAGTAGAAATAGTGATGATATATATAATGATTTCCTTTAGAGTAACTACTTAAAATTACTCCTTAGAAATAACTACTTAAAGAACCAAAAACTGATAATAAATTATAGTGATTAAATAAAATATACAGTTTATATGCGAAAATGTTTAAACATCTCATTTTCATTTAAAAATTAATTAACATTTAAGACTAAAATTGTTTGCAGATGCTCTTTACTGATTCTAATTCTTCGCGCGTTTATGATAGCACCCACTTCAGAAAATAATTTCTCGCATTTCGTTTCACAATAACATTAAATAATCCACAATAACAACAAACAGAACCGCAACCTTGGCAAACCTGGACGAAGTAGTAATCGAATTTATTTTGGTACCACCAAAAAATAATTTAAAAAAATATATCGACCTTACAACGTTTATTACTATTCAAATAACTTTCATTTCATCTCTGACTGAATTTATATTTAAACATGGCCAGCTTGCTTAAATGCAGGTGCACATTCTGTTTAAAACATTTGTTATTTTACATTTCAACTGTGATGGAATTGTGAATGGAATGGAAAAAAAACAGGTTAAATCGCTAGCTGCAACTACGGTTTAGGTTACACGTTTGGAACTGTGGCGAACTCTATCCGCCACTTCTCAACTAGTAGCTCTAACCGAAACGCCAGCTATATCTCACGGCATAACATCTGTGGCGTTTCGATTCAAATAGAACTTCCAACCTGTTTTCCGTAACCGGCGTCTAAGGCAGGGCCTACCTAAGCCTTGCTGACGAGTCCAATAGGTAGGCCCGGGACGAAACGTATGGTGCTTCAACGTGCGCCATAGAACACTGTTATTTTAGCGGTTACATTAAATACCAACCATCCCTACTATCTATAGTTCTCCGCTATCAACGAAACATTGTTTGATCCTAGATATTTTTATCAACTTTTCGATAACTTTTCAAGTTACCCCCGCAGTCGAATGATAAATATTGGGATTTTCATCTCCTGCAGTGTACTTGATACAAGAGATCCACAATTGAAAATACTTTATTTTATAATTGAGCAACCGAACTATTTCTGAATCGGATTTTTAAACCTTTGCTTTTATATTCATGCTCCAATCTCAATTGCCTTTTGGTCGTGTTGTGGTAGCCTTCCTGTGTAGGGCCTGAGAATGGCCAGCTCGTCCGTTGGGCAAAGCAGTCCCAATCGTTTTGTTCAACACTAGCTGTCTCATCTCTGCTTAGATACACTGCAATTGAAAATAGTATATTACGGTACAAGGGACGAAAGTCTTCGAAAGAAAGAAGTTTCGCCACTGCTTGAAACTGACGCCCGAGGCAAAGCCGAGGTCGTCATGCCCGTAGTGGCTGGCCTTCGACTTTTGTCTCGCGTACCGCATATTATTTTTTCTTGATCATCGGTGGAAACCAGCCGGGAAGAATAAGGCTTTGAAAAAAACACTTGGAAAATGTTGCCAAAACAGTCAGTCGCAAAGTCAAGCTGTATGTAATTACTTTCCACTAGGGACGATACGATACTGAGAAAGTATCGATACTTACTCAAATGAGTAGTAACCAAATCATCTTGCGATACTACTCATATGAGTATTCTAAAAGTATCAATACTTACTCAAATGAGTAGTAACCAAATCGTCTTGCAATACTGCTCATATCAGTATTGCACACTTTCAGAAAGTATCGAAATCATTACCTGCTCACAATTTTATGGACTGACTCGATATTGAGTGACTCTACATATAAACACATTTTAAGTATCCATTTTAGATGAGTTTTTTAAGACCGAAATTCACTATTATCGTGAATTTTAACTGTAAAAAAACCATTGAAAGGAGAGATAATAAAATTAATGGCATATATTTTCATGCATTTATTGCCATAAGGTAAACAAAAAAACATTCCTTCTGAAGGTTTCCCAAAAAAACTGTTGCTGCAAATATTTAGGGCCACAAGCTTTTTCTATTGTGCGTCATAGCAGCACCAGCTTTAGGAAATATATATTAATTTATAAAAGTTAAGTTAATGCCGTTTGCATGTCTCCCAATGCATCACTTTTCAAAGATATTATTCAGTTCCATATTGTTTTGACATCGTCAATAAGATTTAAAACTGACTGTTCAGAACCATTAATACGTAACTTTTTTAGTCAACGCACAATTTCACCAACCTTAGATATAGCTGTTTTCACACTTGGTCATTTTAAAGCCTCTTCAACACTGTGATTTATTGTGTAAGTCAAACAGGGCAAATATGTCATTGAGCGTACGAGTAGCTACATAGAGCATAAGCATTATACATACTATTTTGAAGAAAATTACATGTCACACCTAAGAAACCTCGCCCGTTCATTGTTTCTGTCCAAATGTCCAATCTGAGACAAATATTGTCAATCTTTGACAATTTGGCTTTAGCTATAGCTACACAAGCTTCATATTTTTCATATTTTCTTTTTAAATATGCTCCACTAAGTAGGTACCTTCAAATTAGGTTGAAGTACTTCCAGAAGACGTAAAAATCCTTCTCCTTCCACAATGTTGGAAGGCCGCAAATAATCGCAGACAAAAAACGCTAAACTCCACTATTTTGTTGTATTTTGAACCTCCCTCCAAAACAGATTATCTATTATATTCAATAACGAAAAAAAAAGGTGTGTTTCACGGGACGCTCGCCAAAAGTGATAACTTCATGTAGTTATAGAACCATAGGAAACATTATATCGAAGTTGTTTAACGCAAGATGGCAATAATTTTTTTATTTTATAATTTTAATATTATCCTTGGTTTAATAATTTATAAATAAATCAGGAATAGGTAAAATGTAATTTAATATTCTTTTGAATGTAAAATATATTTTATTTGCAACATTTGCTTGTATTGCAAAGAAGCAAAAAGACAACGGCACGCGATGTTCCCAAGCGGTCACCCATCCAAGTACTAACTGCGCCCGACGTTGCTTAACTTCGGTGATCGGACGAGAGATAGATAGATAAAACATTTATTAATATTTACATTATATACAGACATTAACAGATTAACAACAATAACAACAAATGACAGGAGCAAGCCCATGT